GATGTAGCACTTGGAGAGCTGCTGCTGTACATGCATGAGGGGCTCTTTGCAGGGTCTTCAGAATGAGTGAGGTCTTCATTCCTCAGTCCTGGCTTGGACTGCAAGACCAGGCTGCTCTCCTTAGCGGGGGACCAGGCTGCATGATCTGTGTGTCCCACACTGCGACTGCACAGTGCATCTGAACCACAGCCCTTTTCAGGTGTTCCAGCACTCAATTCCTCAGCCATGGGCGCCACACTGGGTCCTTGACCTGAGTTAGATTTTCCTGAATTACCAGCATTACCTTTAACGTCAGCACCACACTGTCTGCCACCTGCACATTTCTTGCACGTGGAGTCACCGCGAAATACTCCCCGCCCTTTCTCCCCGCTGGAGCCCACTGATCCAGCTGCGGATGTGTCTGTCAGGTCACACCCATAACTGTGACTGACTCCCGGTTTTGACGACCCCAAGCCCCGGAGGCAGCAGCACTGCTTCACATGGCAGCAGGCAGGGGGGGGGGGCGGAACACAGCAGGGAGCAGTGTCTTCCCCCATGAAGGAATTTCTCCCTCAGCTCCAGCATGCTGTCTGTCAGAGCTCTGCTCCTCGTGCACTGCCAGCCCTCTTCCTTGCTCCTGTCCTGGGAGCCATGTGTGTCCCTGTCTGGCATATGCTTCTCATGGGGGGACTTCTCTTGGTCAGGACACACTTGCTCTGTGTCAGCTGTTTCATCATAGCTAAGAGGGGACACCAGGAGGGAGGCCATTAGCTCAGAACTGAATTCAGAGGAACAACTGGAAGACATACCGTGGTTAAGTCCATTTTTTCGAGCTTTCCATTTTACATCTCCTGCAAGGGCAGCCTGTTTATCCCAAGTGGATTCTTCCTTCTCACGCTGAACATCAATGTCTTGGCACTCTGGAGTTTCAGATTTCAATATAGGAGATACATATGGGTTTGAAGCATCCTTTTCTGGAGTTAAGGTGGCTTCACTGGAGTAAACAAGACGTCTGTGCTTGGACTTGTATTCTTTGTGATCAGCTAAGAAATCTTTGCCATTTTTCCAGCTACAAGCAGGATCTTCCTGTAGGCAGTATGGTTTTTTTGCAGTATTGCCTGGAGACGACTCAGTAGTTGAGCTGTAGTTCCAGTCTGCTGGAGTTTTGCTGCAGCCTGCATTTCTAATGGATTCCTCTGCCTTTGAGCTGCCCTCACTGCATTTACAGCTGTCATCTAGTTCATGCTCTGGCATAGGCATTGCATATTTCAAAAATAAATACTCTTGCTTTTGGCCTTCTTGCTCTTTGTCAGTTCCTCGTTCTCTTTCATGAAGGAAAAATGAATGCTGAGTGCACTTGTTGGTCTTTCCTCTTTGCACACTCTTTTGACTACAGACAGAAGAGATAGAATCTTCACTGAAATCACTGTCATCCAGATCTTCCAGCTGCATCCCCTTTTTGCTCTGCACTTGTGTGGGAGTAAGGCCCAGCTCCTGCTCCACTTGAAACTCCTCAGGCTTGTGCTGCATTAAAAACCTCTCAAGGGGCTGATAGTTTAGTTTTTGCTGTAGAATAGGTGGCTGCTGAAACTGCTGATGATAAAAGCGTAAATGCTCTTCCCTTTTCTTCTGAAATGTAGGCGGATATGTCAAGTCTTCAACACATTGTTTAGCAGAAGTATTTCCCCATTCCTGTTTGCTGTCAGAGAGCAGATTTTCATCTCCTAGGGAAATATCACTTCTAGAAACAAGCAGTTTCTGAACAGGTTGCACCGTCTGGACTTTCAGGCACTGGGCAGGTCTGTCTTGCATATATTTGTCTCTCTGGCCACTCTCTTTTGTTTCTGCTGTGGCAGCACTTTTGCCCATGAAATCCTTCACAGATGGGTTCTTTTCAGAGTGGGGGAATAGATCATCAGTTTTCTTCTTCAGGGGATGAGCTATTCGTAGGACTTCGTTAACTGGGCTGGTGTGGAAGCAGGGTGTGCTGGTATTTCCTTTGTAGGCATGTCCTTTGTTGATTCCCTTGGGGGTAGAGGTAAGAGGGACACCGGGTGGCTGGAGTGCTGCAGGACATGTCTTTGTTTTTGTAGCATTTGAGGGATGCTGTAGGCCTAGCTTCACTTTCTTTGGAGAGCTCTTTTCCCCAGGTGGAAAAGAGAGATGGCTTTGGACACGTTTTGAGGATACATTTCCAGCTCTGCGACGCCTCTTTGTGACAGGAGTGGAACAGGTCATCCCTTTCTTCAGCTCTTTGACCCTGGAAAAGAGGTTGGATTTAGAAGATGTCATGCTTTCAGATAAATAACAGCATCTTCAGAACAAACTAATGCTTTCACATACTAAGACTAAATACTGAATTTAATGTCATGATTTGTTTTGTGCCAGTGACCTACACAGGTACCAAAACTCTTCTGCCAAATGCCTGAATTCTGAAAAGGTCTATAGCAGTCTTGTTAAGTGCTCCCCTGAACAGTGCATAACGGGCCAAATGAAGTGAAAATGGCCTCAGTTTCAGTGCAGTGGGGTGTTACTCCACAGCACATCACAGAGTCCCACAAGACACAAAGTAGGGCTTCTAGGGTAGTTGCAGAGGGGCACCTTAGCTCAAGTGATGCTCATAGGGACTACACTGCTCCTGGATCAGATTCACCAGCACAACTCTGAAATGCTGATTAACTGATATCACCCTCTCCCCTATCACCCAGTTTCCTTGACTGTCAGATGTCCTCTTGACTCCTGTTGCACCTTAAGCATCACTTGCACAGCCTGCACTTTACCTCCCCCTGTGCAGGAGGGTAGGTGAAGGAATTGCACACATTATGAGCAGAATGACAATACATGGAATCATAGAATCACCATGGCCGGAGAAGACCTCTAAGACCATCAAGTGCCACTCTGCTGTAACACCTAAACCCGATACCATATCTTCCATTGCCAGATCCAGATGCCTCTTAAACACTTCCAGGGATGGTGACTCCATCATCTCCCTGGGCACCTATTCCAATGCCTGACCACCCTAACAGTGAAAACATTTTTCCTAGCATCTAATCTGATCTGAATCTCTCTTAGCTTATGGGCATTTCCTCCAGTCCTCTCGCTGCAGACATGGCAGAAGAGACCATCCCACACCTCTCTACAACCTCCTTTCAGGTAGTTGTAGAGAGCCATGAGTTCACCCCTGACCTGACTCTTCTCAAGGCTAAACAAACTCAACTCTCTCAGCCGTTCCTCATATAATGTGTTCTAGACCTTTTATAAGCCTCGGCATTTCCTCCAGTCCTCTCGCTGCAGACATGGCAGAAGAGACCATCCCACACCTCTCTACAACCTCCTTTCAGGTAGTTGTAGAGAGCCATGAGTTCACCCCTGACCTGACTCTTCTCAAGGCTAAACAAACTCAACTCTCTCAGCCGTTCCTCATATAATGTGTTCTAGACCTTTTATAAGCCTCATTGCTTTCGCTGTACTCGCTCCAGCACCTCAATGTCCTGCTTAAAATGATGGGACCAAAACTGAACACAGTACTCGAGGTGTGGCCTCACCAATGCTGAGCACAGGGGGATGATCACTTTCCTAGTCTTGCTGGCTACACTACTCTTGATACAGGCCAAGATGCCATTGGCCTTCTTGGCCCCCTGTGCACACTGTTGGCTCATATTGAGCTGCTGTCAACCAGCACTCCCAAGACCCTTTCTGACAAACAGTTCTTAAGTCACTACTCCCAAGCCTGGAGCATGGGGTTATTGTGTCCAAAGTGCATGACCAGCATTTCACCTTATTGAACCTCATGCAGTTGTCCTCAGCCCACCGATCAAGTCTGTCCAGGTCTCTCTGTAGAGCTTTCCTACCCTCAGGCAGGCCAACAGTCCCACCCAGCTCAGTGACATCTGCAAGCTTACTGATGGTGCACGCAATTCCCATGTCCAGATCACCAACAGAGATGGTAAACAAGACAGGCTCCAACATTGAGCCCTGGGGAACATCACTAGTGACTGGCCCCAAGTACAAAACTAAATCAAAATTTTGATTACTGAGGTGAGTAATCCTGCAGTTACAGAGCTGAATGGTGTCATCAGTAAGTACTTACAAGACTCTGAGAATTTTAAGGCCAAATACAAGGGCTGGAATAGGTAAGGATTTTATTTACTATGTGAAAACTGCAATTCTTGCCTAAATCAACATTTTCAATACAACCAAAATAAAATATAATGACAAACATCATACATTTCTTTTTTTCTCTGTGTTTTTCACCCTGGCAAGATTGAGCTTCACCACCTACCTGTCAGCATATCGCAGTGTGTTCAGTGTATGCTCTGTAGCTATGTGGCTGGGTGACACGTTGGCTATCATACATGTCTTGGAATTGCCAATGAAAGAATCCTTTAGCACCTAGGTTTGGAGGGGAAAAAAATTGGATATTAGCAATTCTTGTCCCTTATGTGTCCTGTAAATTCTCAATGTGTACAGAGGAGATTTTACATGAGGTAATGTCTTAGGTTTTTTCCATCTGTTAGATGTAGTCCTCCTGTCTCAATTTGTCTTGTCATTATTTGTTTACAGTTTGAAATGAATATGAATGTTAATCAGGGCTCTGAACAGGCCCTTGCACCAGGTGCCACAAGGGTGTCCAGATGTTTTGAGGAATAAAGCAGATGTTAGAAGTAAGGAAATTCCAGGACTGTTATGGTACAGAGGACACAATAATTGTTGCAGACTGGGTGGAGATGGATGGTAACTCTGGAAAGTAGTGGGGTTTTTTCCATGCCAGTCCCCAGCACTGGCTAGGGAAAACAGCAGTTGGCCTTAATGCACAATTACCTTTTAAAATTAAAGTTTGCAAAAGTTATGCTTTTCCTCTTTTCCTCAAGAGCTTAATGGCAGTTACCGAATTATGCCCCTTCTTTATTTATTTATTTGATTGTTTGTGTATTTTTGTCCTCACCCTCTACTCTTGCCTTTCTGCTGGTTTTACCTGAGTCAATTTGCTTTGCCGGAAAGGAGTATGTGTGTGTTCCTGATCCAACGCCCGAATGCATTCCTTTAGCTACCAAAAGGAAAAAAAAAATCAGAAAAAAAACAATCAGGAACTGAACTCCGTCAAACCTAACCTACCAATGTCCTATGTTCCTCATCTCCTTTGAATCCTGCTCTGTGATCTCCCTTGCAAGGTCAGTGTGCTGCTGCCACAGGCAGCGGCAGGTCCTTAAAAAGAGGTTCAGCTGCACCCAGTGAGGGCAGGGCCGCAGCACAGAGCACAGCCAGCTCTGCCTGATGGCTCCATGGGCTACACCAAGCCCAAGAAGCTAGGAAAATACACACATTTAGCACACACAGAGCTTCACACTGCTGCTGCCTGCACCATAGCTAACTAGTCTGAAGCCAGATTGTGTGTACCCCAGACCACACTGCAGCTTCCAGGCAGGTGTGCCCTAAGAACAGAACCTTCTGAGCTCCATCTCGTACAGATTTACTTCTGGAGATACAGCTACAGCACTCTCATCAAAGCTAACAGTGCTGAGCAGCTAGCCACACCCACACCTTTCACAGAACTTGTTGGATCCTGTTACTACTATTAACCATCAATAGACATTGCCCATAGTCCTGAAGAAACAACCTTTGATTGAGCACTGGAACAGGCTGCCCAGGGAGGTCATGGAGTTTCCCTCTCTGGAGATATTTGAAAGCCTGGATGCATTCCTGTGTAACCTGCTCATGGTGACTCAGCCTTGACAAGGGGATTGACTAGATGATCTCCAGAGGTCAGTTCCTGCCCTAGCAATTCTGTGATCCTGTGATTTATTATCAGCCTTGGAAACAGATGTCATGTTCAAAGTCAAAGAACTCAACTACTTTTGCCATGTTTCCACTGGACTTAAGCATCACACTTCACATCAAGCCTGGATGCTGTCTAAACCTGTCAGAAATGGACTGCATAGCCATGGGACAAGCCCTTGAGAGCAAACATTGAAGGAAAAATAAGCAGATTATACTATTGTCATGGTGATAATAGCATGAAGTATTTACAGCTTTATAACATTCTACAAACTCCCACTTAAAATGACACTTATTTCTCACTTCTATAGCATTTTGTTTGAAAATGCACCTGTAAAAGTAGAACATCAAATTATTACAGTTTTTTATTCTGCTTGTCACATTTGCAGCGGCTGAGTATCTTCCACTTGAAACCAACATGAATAGTCAAAAACAGCAGCAAACATCAAACCTCATGCATTTAAAGGCCCAAAGAGAGTGTTAAGATCATTGAGGGCAGGGCTAGGTTTTACACTCTGCAGGCCATGCAGACTTACCCAAAGACACCTTTTGCAGTTAATTCAGTCACTATTTGTAGACTGCCCAGGTATTTTCTGTTTCACACAATACCAAAAATGTACACACACTGATTTCAAATTTTCTTTTAAAGAGTTTCGTGAGGCTACGTTAAGCCTCATTTCTCAGGAGTCATAGACTTGTTTAGGATGGAAAAGACCTTTAAGATCAGACTCTTTTCGATGCAGGTCCCAACTCCCTGTACCACTCATTTATTCACCAGCAAGTATCCAAGAAAACATGAAGTACAGAAACACATTCACGTCACAGGCTGTCCCTGTACGAATGCTCGTATTTCACAGCAGGAAAAGCCTCTGTGCAAACGAACATTTCACAGTCTCAAAACAGATCAAGCCACCTCCTATTTGCAGCACACTAAGAAGTACAGTCAAGTGCACTGACCCATACCCACCAATGGTGTGTTACCTTCAGCCTCACTGAGAGGAGTCCCCAGTCATCATGAGCTTTGTTTGTTTGCATTAAAGGAGATGCAAAACCTGTACAGTTTATACTTACAGGCACTTCTGCTTTATCTCAGATAGCATTTCCCAGCTCTTTGTCCCTTTTTACCTAACTGTGGGCACTTACAAAAGACAGTTTGCAATAAGAGTGCATTTCCTCCTGTTCCTTCCTCCCCACATATGAATTGCTAGTTTCTATGACCTTGAGTATTTGAGTCCTTTAATCCTGATTTGAAAGAGAAGTCTGAATTCAAGTGGTGAAAATAGCTGGCAGGAACAGATGTGCTTTTATGAAACAAATGTGGCAATTCCACGTCAGTGTTCTTTGGAAGCAAGGGGACAAAACTTTCTATATAAAATATGGGACACTTGTTATACTATACCAAACATTCTCCATGCTTTGTGTACCTGTCTGGCTGTAAGAATCGATTAAAGATACTTTCTTTTCATCACCAGATCTTTTCCTTCTTAAATTATAATCAAGTAATGAGAAAAATTAAACTGGACACACTGACCACCTCGGTAATTTTTCCCCTTCCATAGAATACATGCATGTATTGTTCTGTGGTTCATTTTTATCCTAAAACATATGCTAGTAATTAAATACAGAACCTTCCCCAGATATGACAGTAGCTTACTGCTAAAAGACTTCGGTTTATTTCTGCTCCTTCCATTTTTGTTTGCCGATCTGAGTCTCTGGCATCAGCTGCCCTTTCACTGCCAGCCAAGTCAATGAATGATATCCTAAAAAAAAAACCCAACAAAGTTCCATTTATCTTAAGGGCTTTTTCCCACTCTTCTTCCTTTTTCTTATTTTTTTCTTTATTAAACCAGAGGGCTGCCACACTTGGCATCAGAACAATGATTAGAAACAACTACTTCTGAGCAAAGAGAAACATCAACTGGACATATCTGAGGCACCAAAATAAGCATAGCAGCA